AGAGCTCCTTATAGAAGGGATAAAGGGGATCTCTTAGGTATTGAAGGATGGGAATGGGATAGAATGGAGTCACATGGGATTATCTCTGAGCAGTGTGCAGGAAGTATTGTCCAAGTTGAGCTCTCCTGTTTCCTGTTCTCATAGCATCCTGAACTTTCCCTGTCATAACATTTGTGACCCTTCCTCATAATTACTTCCTGCCAGCCATTTTTGTAGGACTTCAAGCCCTATGAAGGTATCAACTTTGATTGCCCCATTTTCAGGTGAGTTCCCAGCACCTGTAGTAATGTAGGGATCCAAGTAGGCTCAGCAAATATTTGAATGGATGAGTGAATGGATAGGTAAATCGGGCTGCTCTCTTTATTTCTCATGGTGCTAGACAATCTGTCATCCTGGAAGCTTCTTCATTCATCTGATTCTCTCTGTTATGCATAGGCATTTCTGTTCTCTCCAGCCTTGTCCTTGGCTTGTCCAGCCCTACTATGCACTCAGTCCTGAGTTTACATATTATTTTAGCTCTAGAGCCTCTCATTTCCCCAATTTCAAATTGATTAAAAACATAAAATTAGGCACATTATAAGGGTTTCTATGCCATATATATGTGATGACAGGTGGCCATCACAATTTATATTGGGCTGTAGGAACCCAGCTCTTCAGCAAGTTCTCTACTTATATATGTATTTATTACTTGACACTTAGTGATCTACACAGGAAAAGTGTGTCAAATCAGACTGATGTTAATAATATATGTTCCATTCTGTAAAGATCCTATTCACTGCTCCCATCCCCTGAAAATATGTCAAACTTTGGTGGTATAAAATGACCTTGAATGTCATTTCAGCCTACTATAGGACATGGTTACATCTTCTATGTGTCATGACTATGAGACTTCCTGCCATCTCCTCATGTATGAATTCAATAAGTTCCTGCTGAGTCATGAAACTCTAATTATACTCCTTTGGAGTGAAGGAAGATAACTGTGAAATAAGTGATGTTACCAGTGTCATTGAGATCCTTACAAGGGAATCATTCACTCAACATTAATTGAGCTCAGAGCACCTACTTAATGGTAAGAACTATGCAAGAACATGGAAGCAAGTGAGATAGTCCCTATTCACACAAACCATACCTTTGTGGGAAAGATGAGCAATTAAATCATTATTATAACATGTCACGAGAACTGAGAAAGAGGGAGAAGATGTTTTAAGGAAGCAAATAAGGAATCCTAACTTCAGGTAAAGGATTGGAGAATGCATTCCTGAGAATGGACTAAGAAGTTATAAGAAAGATTATAACTTTTCTAGGTATAAAAGTACATTTAGAAGGAAGAGTATTTCCAGGCAAAGAACATAATATGAAAAGGTCTAGAGGAAATATAAGAAAACACACACACACACACACACACACACACACTAAGCAATGTTTGAGAAATACTATTCTGTTATATGCAGTTTCATCTTGCTTTTCTCATTTAGCTATACTTCATGGAAATCTCTCCAAATCAGTTTGTACAGATTCAATTCATGTTGCTGGTATGCCATAACTTACTGAACCATTCATGAATGGATGGTTCTTTCTATCTTTCCGTATTTGTCACTTGGAGTGAGCTTTTTTTTTTTTTTTTTTCATTTTTCTTTTATTATTCATATGTGCATACAAGGCTTGGTTTATTTCTCCCCCCTGCCCCCACCCCCTCCCTTACCACCCACTCCACCCCCTCCCGCTCCCCCCCTCAATACCCAGCAGAAACTATTTTGCCCTTATCTCTAATTTTGTTGTAGAGAGAGTATAAGCAATAATAGGAAGGAACAAGGGGTTTTGCTGGTTGAGATAAGGATAGCTATACAGGGCATTGACTCACATTGATTTCCTGTGCGTGGGTGTTACCTTCTAGGTTAATTCTTTTTAATCTAACCTTTTCTCTAGTTCCTGGTCCCCTTTTCCTATTGGCCTCAGTTGCTTTAAGGTATCTGCTTTAGTTTCTCTGCATTAAGGGCAACAAATGCTAGCTAGTTTTTTAGGTGTCTTACCTATCCTCACCCCTCCCTTGTGTGCTCTCGCTTTTATCATGTGCTCATAGTCCAATCCCCTTGTTGTGTTTGCCCTTGATCTAATGTCCACATATGAGGGAGAACATACGATTTTTGGTCTTTTGAGCCAGGCTAACCTCACTCAGAATGATGTTCTCCAATTCCATCCATTTACCAGCGAATGATAACATTTTGTTCTTCTTCATGGCTGCATAAAATTCCATTGTGTATAGATACCACATTTTCTTAATCCATTCGTCAGTGCTGGGGCATCTTGGCTGTTTCCATAACTTGGCTATTGTGAATAGTGCCGCAATAAACATGGATGTGCAGGTGCCTCTGGAGTAACAGTCTTTTGGGTATATCCCCAAGAGTGGTATTGCTGGATCAAATGGTAGATCGATGTCCAGCTTTTTAAGTAGCTGGAGTGAGCTTTCTTGAGCTCTTGGTTCTATGAACCTGAGGATGCCCGGAGATGCAGAAAGGACAAATGATAGACGACAGACATGCAGAAAGTTGGAATCAGGTTTGCTGGTCACTTGGATGGAGACACACAACAGCCTCATTGATTCTTTTTCTCTAATAACTCTTCTTTTACTTTTATTTTCTTTTCTCTGTCTTTAAAATCTTACTTCTAAAGTCTTTCTTATTTTCTGTTCTTTAAAGTCTCTTTCCTTAGACTTGCACTGTCCCATGTTTTCTTTAGACTCTCAAAGTCTTGGCCCTCAATCTTCACTGTCCCATGTCCTCTTTAGCTTTCCTTTAGCTTAGCTTTTTTAAAGCCTATGTATAAAGTTCTCGGTGCAGACTTGCACTGTCCCATGTTCCCTTTACCCTGTAGCATAACTCACCACCACCAGCAGCAGTCAGCTGCATCATTCAGCAAGCAGCCCACTAATCAAAAAACCCCCCAACCCTCTTCAGGGAGTCTTTTATATCCAGTGGTAAACAAGGAAGTGGAGAAAGAGTTGGGGAGGGGCAGTGACATTGTAACAAGACAAACCTGGTCTCTACCTCTCTGAATGTAAATTTAGGAAAAGCAGCTGTGCTGCATTTTGCCTCTTGCTCTCTTCTGCAGTTAGGCCCATGCCAAACTCAGCCTGTAGATCATTGAGCACAACTGTGCTTATGTCAGTTCTCATAGGCTTTTCTTAATCTGCTCCCCACAGGTATACACATGTAGAATTGCTATGCCTTCCTGGTATATTGACCCTTTTATCATTCTATTATGTTTTTCTGTGTCTGTAAGTTTGATTTGCTCTGGTCTACTTTGACAGCAATATTATCACTTCTGCTTTTTTTTTGATTAATATCTTCATGATACTTTATTGTATCATTTTACCTTCAACCTACCTGTATCATATTTGAAGTGTCTTGTAAACAGTGTATAGCTGAGTCATTTTTAAAATCCCTTATGTCAATCTTTGTCTTTCTGTTTGTGCATGTAGGCCATTTATGTTTAATGTAATTAGTGGTATATAAGAGCTTAAATTATCACTTGATTATTGTTTCATTTATTCTATTTTCCATTCTTCTATTTCTCTTTTCCTGCCTTTCTTGCATTAATTGAAATTTTTTGAGAATTTGGTTTTGATTTATTAATAATGTTTTAATGTATTTTTGCATAAGTTCTTTTTTTTTTTTAACCAACATTTTTTTTTATTAATGTAACAATTTCTTCCACAATGACAACTGTGGCAAAAACTCCAATATTAGCCAACCTGCTGGTATATCCTACAGCCTTTTAATTAAATAGTGTATAGACATTTATAAGTTACACAGCCACACCAATTTATAAGCAACCAATAAATTGTGAAATGTCAGGAATAAAGTTACACTTTAAATAGTTTACCTTGTCCTTTTCCTTGTAGTATTTTTATATTCATGCGCCCCACTTATTTTTTCACTAGACTCTATTGGATTCTAGAGTTAAGTATGGCTAAGCAGAAAACAAAATACAGATGGGTGTCAACACAGTTGTTGAGCTTTATCAGTGTCTAAGACAGTGTAGCTATTCTCTGAAAGACAAGTTATGTAGCTCAAGGCAAAATGGAGAAAGTTGGATTTGAATCTTGGATTCTTCATAGTTCTACCTGTCAGATCCATGGGAACATCACAGGCCCAAGTTTGCACGCCACAGGGTTACAGTGTCACTGGAATGTCCACTGGCTGAAGAAGGACCCTGGAGTATTCAGGCTTTTGGAGTGGTACACAGAAGATAAAATGGCATTACACCACTTAGGTAATAATCTCTAAGGAACTGCCCATTTAAATTGTATTGGCTATCTCTACGTGAAGAACTTAGGCTAACAGTTCTACAATCTCAATCAAAAGATAACTATTTAACCACTTTTCTGCAGTGAATCAATAGACTAATGTCCTACAGCGGGAAGATTACGTAAGTTCTACCTTGAGACTCTCATGCAGGGCCCATTACCTGATACATTCAGGTAAGGAAGCAGCCAGTGATACACAGGTGAGAGCAAGGTCAAGCCTTGCAGCAGCTCACTGTTAGTAACACCAGTGTTGAATTACTTCATTACTTTTACTCCAGTCCCTGCTTTTGGCCCTGCCACTTCGTTCACGTATGGAGTCTGAGGTATGTTGTCACTGCTGCATGTAGCTATTTTTCCACATTATGGTTCTATTTCTGCTAAGTCATTCCTACAGTCTTATCAACTTTTTAAGTTTTTAAAAAACTGTCTTTTTAGAGCTCTGGAACAATACAAAAAATTAAATTAAAAAATTTTCAAATACAGTAAAATTCTGACATATTGGATGCTAGATAAGTTATTATCAGATGGTCTCCATTTACCTAATGTCAATGTTGTAAGAGGTTCAACCAGACTGGTATTTAGTGAGGTGAGTTTTAGCTATTCTGAAAATGGTAAATTAACCTCTTATTTGTATGTGAATCTAAAGTGTACCCCTTCTAAGGTTATTTGTAAATCAAAATAAAAAAAATAGGCAGATAATTATTAAATATGTTAACAGGTACAATGAGCAAAAAACTGAAACTTTTCCACTGAACTGACATCTGCTTACTTTTTATTTAGTTAAATACAAAGGCCCAGTTAATCAACTCACTAGACTGGTCAAGGCAAGACACCTGAACTGCACAATAGGATTTAGAGCAGGTGGTTTGTAGCAGTCCTCTGATGCACGCACACACACAGACACAGACACAGACAGACAGACAGACACACACACACACATGGTGGGAGTACTCGAGATACTGAATTTCCCCATAATTTTGAATAACACACTGTTCATAACCTGCAGAATTTTGAAACTGTATCAATTGGACATGGCCAAATTAGAGATGTCTAATAACCTTATAAACTATTTGGAACTTCAGCTATATACCCAAATGGCTGACTTTAAACTATAAAAAATGAAAATTCATATAAAAGCACAACAAATTCAACACACATCTTGAAAAAAATCAAATTGTAACTCAATTTTCTACTTTTTCAAAAATGACTAAGAAAAAAGTTCCAAGTAGTAATGTCTACATGTAAAAGAAACAGAGTGAGTTTTTGGGGAAAGCTATACAGTATTATTGCACTCCATGAATGTGCAGAATTCCCAAACGCCTCAGCACTGAGAAACTGTCCTGCATGAGGTTTCCCAAGAGTACAACGTGCCTGCCGAGGGTATCCAGCCTGTACTAACAGCAGCTGTCTTCAGTACAGGCCTTCATCGTGCCAGTCACGCTGCTCCTGCAAAATCCTGTAATGTAGAAGAGTTTTCAGTGCTGATGGTGGGGCTATGATCGATGGTGTGGGAGTGAGTCCATGTGCACGTTGAGCTTCATTTCATTGTCGAGGATCTGAACGAGCTGCTGCATGGATGGGAGATGACCAGACTCCAGCTTAGACCACACAGGTACATCGTTTAGCGTGATCTCAAATGCACCTGTGGACATGCACTGGTTCTCGATCATGTTGCTCAAGAAGAAAACCATCACGCACGCGTAGACCTTATTCTCTTGGCTCCACTGCCAGATGCTAGGCGCTTGCATGCCAAAGAAAGCGAAGGGGTCCTTGCCAACAATGATTAAGCCTATTAGTACTAGTTTGAAGACTGACAGGAAAGATGCTATATGTCTGTAAATCGGCTGAGGGAGGTAATTCTCCCCTTCGATTCGGATGTCGGGATACCGCTGACTAATAACGCGCAAGTACTCCTCAAACACCCGCCTGTACCCTCAGGAGACGCAAATCTGGAACTTGAGCAGCGGGCCCGTGGCGTACTGCATCTTTAACCTCTTGCTGGGCACGCCGCCCATGTTGGCCGAGGCCTCGCCCCGGGTCACCGCCGACGCCGCCACCAGGACAAGCAACAGAAGCCTCATCTTGACTCAGACAGCCGCTCCGGCCGCCTTCTCACTGAGACTGCCTTGCATAAGCTCTTAAAATAGTAGTTGCTTTAGGAATTACATCATATATATATACATTGCATATATATATATATATATATATGCAATGCCACAGACTACAGGGTAAGCATTTTATCACTTCATTTGAAATATAGAAATGTTTCTTCTATTGATGTTTTTTACCTTCCTGCAGGAATAATTGTCTTCAATATTTCCTCTACAGATGTTGACACTTTCTTTCTCTGAAACTTTAAAATTATATTGAATGTTTGAATCAATGTTCAGATGAGCTGCTGTTTGTCTTTGCTGCCTTGCTTTGTCTCAAATCATGAGAGACTATCTGGGCATTGTGTCAGGGCCAGGGGGCATGTCAGCATCTCTGGCACTGTCAGATTCCTTTCTGGGTTTTCCTGTCCATAGTTGTCGGGGTTTGTGTGATGCCTTTGGCCCCATTCAGATCAATGGTTAGTCTTTCCTGGTCTCCAACTTTCTGGAATTGGCTCAGTGTTTTCTTCTCCTTTATTCTGTTTCCCAGTTGGTGGATCCCATCCTGGCCTTACCGTCAGTGTTCTTTCAGACTTCTTGCAATGACCTGGCATGTGGATCACACCTGTAGCCACTTGATGTGTCCTACTGCTTACTGTCTCCTGGAACAGATATATAAAGTGGGAGGAAGGGTCTGGCACATGTTAGAAGGGCTGGCCTGGATTGACTTTCTTCCTCATGTATAAAATGGGAATCAGACCTATTTCACAAGGTCAAAGTTAAATTAATTCATTTTTAAAGGTAATATAATAATAATTAACAGTTTATGTCCTAGATATTGTGCAAAGCATTTCATTTACTCCTCACAACACATAGCTTTGACAGTTAAGGAAACCAGAAAAGCAGGACATTTTTAACCTACCATATTAAAAATAGAATTTTATGAACTCCATCTGCATATATATCCTAAGCTTTTGTCCTTCTGATGCTTACTGCTTCAATTAAAAAATAATACAAAACTGGGAGTGGTCGTACATATCTATAATCTCAACACTTGGGAGGCAGAGGCAGGAGGACTGTGAGTTCTGGGCCAGCTTACAGATTTATTATAAGTGAGTGGGCAGGACCACTCAGGTCTCTAGTCCCAGCTCAAGGAAAGGAAAGTGTTCATGTGTGTGTGCGTGTGAGTGTGTGCATGTGTGCGCACGTGCGTGTGCGTATGTGCATGCATGTGTGTGTGTGTGTGCACGCGTGCACGTGTGTGTGTGTGTGTGGTCAGCAGCAGTCACAAGGCAGTGAGATGGTGGGTGTGAGCCTAATAAAGACTATAATGGGCACCGCTCATCCAGGAAAACCCACCTTAGTCCTGGCCCTGCTCTAGAGCTACCAATGGATTCTTCCAGTGCATTTGTTCATCTACTCATTAACTTCATGGATATCTTGCCCTGCTCTAGCACTGTGCTGGGCACTATGGATACAATGGTCCCCAGGAAGTTGTAAGCCTGTCCTTCAAGAAGAAAGAGATGGTGGAATGACTACATGAAGCTGATTGCCCACTCTGATAAATGTCAAGAGCAGAATGCATAGTATATAACAAGGGGACTGGATACTCAGAGAAGGGAACTGTCTGATGGGCAGGTGTGGGGAATGGAGTAGGAGAAGCACAGTTATACTCAATGTTCTGTAGACTGAGTTTGGCACAGCCCCAGCCACAGAATAAGGCTAGAGTAAGGTGTGGAGCAGCTGCTTTTCCTAAGATGCTTATGTCAAATAATCTTTAGGCTGACATTTGGCACAGCCCCAGCTACAGAAGAGAGTGAGAAGACAAGATGCACCTCAGCTGCTTTTCCTGTTGTTTATGTTCAGAGAAAGAAGTAGGAGTGCCAGTTTCTATTGTCCCAATGTCACTCTGTTCCCTGAGAACTGTTGCTCCACCTCCTTGTTTACTACTGGGTATACAAGGGGACAAGAGGCTTTGGATGAAAGAAGGTTTTTGATAAAGGGAGGATTGCTGAAGAGGTTTTAGGCTGAAGAGAAAGCACCTGTGGGAGATTTCTGAAGGGACAAAATGGATTTCTGAAGGGAGGATTGCTGTAGGGGGAAAAAGAATTGCTGAAGGGAAGATGATTGCTGAAGGGAAAAGAATTGCTGAAGGGGAACAGCTAAGGGGAAATTGCTCAAGAGGGATTGATAGAATTGGTTGGCAGCTTGCAAGGAGAACATGAGACAGTGCAAGTCTGAGCTCTGAGGCTTTAAGAAAGCTACAGAGAGAATGTGGACAGTGCAAGTCTGGGGGAAAACACTTTAAGAAGGATTATGCTAAAGAAAAGCTAAGAGAAAAGATGGGACAGAGCAAGTCTAAGGAAAGAGACTTTAAAGAACAGAAAAGAAGACTTTAGAAGTGAGGTTTTAAAGACTAGAAAGAAGAAAGACTTTAGCAGTAAAGTTTTAAAGAATTGTAAAGGAGTAAGGCCTTAAAGAATAAAGACAGAGAAAAAGAAGCAGAGTAAATGAAGAGAATAATAAAGAAAAGAACAAATGAGGCTGTTGTGCATCTGCACCCAAGCACCCAGCACACCCAGCCCCAGCTTTCTATCTGTTTGCCTATCCTGTGTTTTTTCTACATCTCTCATCACCCTCAGTTAGGCCCAGTTAACAAGGGAGGGAGAAAAATCTCACTCCAGGTGGGAAAGCATTTTCAAATGCTGAAGGGGAGGCAGTCTTCAGAAAGATCACATGCAGACTTCTTTTCATTTGTTAGTGTGATTTAGGAACAGGTAACAGAAATTCAAATTATGTTTACTGGAGAAATGAAAAAAATGATTGTCATACCTGCCTGGAAGTCTTAAGACAAAAAGGCTGGATAATTAGCATATTCAATGCCTGTATTTTTTATCTGTTGCTGTGTAACAAGTTACCCAAAACTTAGGAGTTGAAAGCAAAAAACAAAAACCTTTATTATCTCACAGTTTCTCTCACTGGAGAATCTGAAGATGGCTTATCTGGATGCCTCTGGCTCAGGATCTCTCCTGAGGGTTCATCCACACCATTGACCAGGGCTGTGGTCTTCCTGAGCCATGACTGGGATGGAAGTATTTGCTTCTAAGATCAGTCATGAGGTTTCTGGTGAGGTTCAAGTCCAGAGGGGAGGGGCTCTTTGAGATTGAGGGGCTTTGAGATTTGAGGGGCTCTTTACCATGTGGATCTTTCCATAAAATACTTCCAACCCATAGAAGCTGGCTTCCTCTGTGGGCTGTGTGTGTGTGTGTGTGTGTGTGTGTGTGTGTGTGAGAGAGAGAGAGAGAGAGAGAGAGAGAGAGAGAGAGAACAGAAAGAGAGAAAGAGAGAGAGATCGAAAGAGAAACTAAGGTAGAAGCTGGAGTAGTTTAATAATCTAATCTCAGAAATGATACACTGTCTCTTCTCTGTGCATTAGAACACAGTCCATAAGTTCTGCCTCTTCTGCATATCCCTCTACATCAGGCTAGAAACAAGATGGTGACAGGATTTCAGAGCTTTGCCCCTGTGCAAAAACATCCTGAGGAAGATCACTTATAAATGCTCTCCAAGAAGAACTTTCCTGAAGTCTCTTCAGACCTCCTTCCACATCTCACCCATCCATTGTGAAGTAGTTACTGGCAGGAAGGATGAGATTTCCATGAAGCCTCTTTGGCTCACCATGGGCACAGGAGATGGAAACAGCTTCCTTGAAAATGGGCTGTGGGGGAAATTAATGTGAGTCAACTCCATGTATAGCTATCTTTATCTCAAGCAGCAAAAACATTTGTTCCTTCCTATTATTGCTTATACTCTTCTCTTCAACAAAATTAGAGATAAGGGCAAAAATTTCTGCTGGGTATTGAGGGGGTGGGGGGGAATTGAAGGGGGTGGAGTGGGTGGTAAGGGAGGGGGTGGGGACAAGGGGAAGAAATGACCCAAGCCTTGTATGCACATATGAATAATAAAACAATAACAAAAAAGGGCTGGACTCCTTTAAAGAATAAGTAAAATTCTGAAGGCCATGTTAATCACTGTTTGACAAGAAATAAAAATTTTCTAATTAAAAAAAAAAAGAAAGGTTGTGGCATCTGGTGAAATTAGAAAACTGATCTTCAAATGGAAATGACTCACCTCGGTGGAAAGTGACTGGCAGAGGACGGCAAATAGCTATAAAAAGAAAGTCATATAACAACATGAATAAACAGGACATCATTAATTACCATATATAGAAATCTCCATGTCAGTTGAAACTTTTATGCTTTCTTCTCCTAAGAAGACAGTAAACTAAAATAGTAATAAAATGGTGGCCTTCCAAATTCAAACATCCTATCTTTCCTCTAAGCTCTGATTTTTATATAAAAATGGTCATCCATGTCTTAGAGGCATCAAATAAAAATGACATGATTTGTCAACTATAAGACAGCATTCCATCTATTATTTGCTCCTCTGAGGATCTTTAAGAAATACTTTGGCACAGTAATATAGGTAGTTGGCTTCTAACCTCTCCATCTCTCCCCAGAGTCATCAATTGCAATAGTTTCAAAAGTTTTAGTGTAGTGCTTAAAGGAACCTAAGTAAACTTCCCTTAAAACCTGTAAGAACCATATGAGAACCTGATCTACATCAACTGAGGAGACTTAGGAGGGCTTTGTGCTAAATAACTACTGTTTAAAATAGGTAGGTTAGTATAAATGTCTGCAGGTATGACTGAAAGTCAGTTATGTGGTGACATTTTCCTGCATTGGGAGCATACATATAATCATCACTAGAGGTTTTTACATCTCAGAGACAATTTCTTACCCACAAGGGACATGCACAGCTCTTTGTCAATGTGTCCATCTTCAGTTAATGCCCAAACACCAAACCATCAGCACCATAAATCTTGGCAAGCTGTATGTCGGTCTTTATCACCTCAATTTCACAATCTGAATATAAAAAGTCACCTCCATGTGGCCAAATCATCACAAAAACTAGAATCTGGACACTCAGTTTCACTACTTGAAGGACACCTATAAGAACAGGAAGACTA